CTATTTATACGCATTTTCATTTATAGTTTGAAGTGTAGCCTATGCTTTTGACTCATCATTCTCTGTCGCGTAAAGTTTGGACTTTTTTTTTTTGGATTTTTTTTTTTAAGTTTTAGGCGTTTGGAGGTGCATGTTCTAACCTACAGTTAAACTTGGGACAAATTAGGCTATTTGACATGTGACCACCAATGTGACAGTCTACTTCGGATTTTCATGTTTAATTAAATGTGTTAGCCTACTTGCTGTTTGTAACTGTTTAAGAAATGTACTAGCAATGGATTTGGGATATAGTTAGTCCTAATTATAGACTATTACAGTGTCTTTTTAAGATTTTTCAGCATTTTTATTCATTTATCTGTTTAATAATAATAATAATAATTATTATTATTATTATTATATAATTATTTAATTATATTTTTTACATCATGTGTATGAGTCCGTCTGACACATTAAAGACATTTAAAACCTCCAAAAACTCTCTCTTTTAAAGTCTTTCTCTCTTGTGCCCTCTTGTGTTCCCCTGTGCAACTTTTAATACTTCTAACACTGATTTGTAATCAGTTGCTTAACATGTATTTTCATTTTGCCTGTTCATTATCAACATATCAGCTGTGTGCTCCATCAAAACCCTCTCCTTATCTAAAGGGTAACAGGACACTCACACAGCAAACTGACCGGTAGCTGCAGTGTGTCGTCAGTGGTGTGCTGTCCGTGGTGCTGAAGCTCGTAAGTCTCTTGGGGACCATTGACGGTCTTTGCTTGGACACATGATTAAATTGTCCAAATTTTAAGATCTAACACTTTGTCTTGAGGTTTGACAACGGCACGACTAGGTAACGAGAGCGAACAAACGCAGATGAGCACAAACTATGCAAATCAATAGTCACAATTATCGCGTCTCAACAGTTTCATCAGTTCATTAAGCAGGCAAACGACCGACCTGTGACCCTGCTTTTAATTAGAGTCCGATGAAACCATATAGAGAGGCTCCAAGCTGTGCATCAAACACCCACTGTATACATATCAAACTGTTTGTGGACAAATCGATTGTGCATGTGTCTTGTAATCAAGAGGGGCAGAATAGAGGGGACTGGAGAAACATCTCATGAATTGCAAATTAAAGCGGATCCCTTTAAGATTAACCCATGGCACAGACAGAGCAAACAAATGACAATATATCAAAGAGCATCCGAGTTTACATAACCGAATTTCATATAGCCTACAGTACAATGGTTTTAATAATAAAACATTTAAAACTATTAAATGTTATTTGATCATGCAGCAGATTATACAACTACTGTTGTTGAGTCATTAAATACAAACAAACAAGGTATTTTGAGTCATTTCCCTGCTGAAAAAACAACAACAAAAAACAAACAAACAACTGAAACCAGCCTAAGATCACTCGCTGGTTTTAGCTGGTCTTCCAGCCTGGTCCTAGTTTATTAGCAGGCTGGTTTTAGCTGGTTTTGACCACTTCTTTAGGACACCAGCTGACTAAAACAGCTGAACGCCATTGACCAGCTTAAAGCAGCTATGCCCAATTTAAAACTTGCTAAGACCAGCCAACCAGCATAGGCTGGTTTTAGCTTTTTTTTAAAATTTGATTTAAAATAAATATTTTTTCCCCCCAGCAGGGTTTCTGTAATCTTTGTTTTGTCGTCCTCTGGTGCCCCTAGCGTCCAGCTAAACATCAAATTAATTTTCAACAAAATGCTACACTATAAAAACGATCTTTAATACGTTTTTACTTCAACACTTCATATTTAATTGATGTGCCATTTCGTTGTAACTGTTGTACTTTATTTACTAGCCATTTATGAGTGAAAATTGTTTCTACACCTATTTTTTTTCAGCATACAGTAGGCTTACAGGACATAGACTATTCATTATGTTCTAAAAGAAAGGTTTGTACTTTTGTCGCACATTTGTGTATCATTTTAATGCCAGATGAAAATACGCACTTTGACTAAAACTGGCAATTTTCAATATGCACGTGCAATTTTCTAGATCCCCCAACCGTTTTGTTTGTGCCTTAACGGCTCCCCCCATAATTCACTCCAAAAACTCGCTCCAGTCAAAAGCTTCAATGCAACCATATATTTTGCTGTCCCTTGTTATTGATAAATAATTCATGAGCGCTCAATCCAATCAGTTATTCTGTTTATCCGACTCCTCTCAGGCGCTAGTCGCTTTCTTTCTTCTTGATGTCAAAGGAGCGTCCTAAATAGACGCAATTCGCTAAACGCTCAATATTCGCAGCCCACTGGCGGAGCTCAGTATTTTGAGTCAGGGTGGAAAATATTTCAGCATTCTTAACGAGGAGCCCGGAGCGATGCGCAAGGGCAGCAGATGTCGAGCAGCGCTCCCGTGAGACCCGATCTGCGGAATTTCATCATCGTGTCGGGATGACCCTGCGCTATCCCGGAGAGGAGAGCGAGAGAAAGGCTTGTGTACGTGGTAAATCACCTTTACAATGGATTGTAATCATGAGGCCCTAAAGGACTAATGCATGAGCGACCCCCTTCCCCATCCAAACTAATCTGAAACACTGCTGGCTATCAATGCAACTTACGACTTTGTATATTGGGCCAAGCTGATGAGCCAATATCACTTCCAATTCACAATCAGACTGGTCAACATTCAACTGCCTAATTCCCTTTAATCGGACCGACAAAACCCAGATCCTTCAAAAGACAGTCCACAGGAACGAGTATATTATTGCAATAATGCCTGCCTGTTTATCTACAGCATGCTCCTCTGTATGCTCGAGATAAGAGTTTTTATTAAGAGGGCAGCAGTAATGTCCTGTGTTCGGCTTTCAAAGCCCAGCAAATAACCGACTTTATCTTGCGTATAAAGCTTCGTATTTAAGCTGCTCAATAACAGGCCGGTTTTGCATCCGGCTGCTCAGAAAGCACGCACCAGGGAGCCCTTTCGGTGGATCCGCTTTGGTGTTAGAGGATCTGGCGTTCAAAAATAATGGCAGACCAGCCTTTCATCGCCACTCAACAAAGCTATAAAAGACATTTTATGTCGGAAATAAATAATAAATAAATGTTACTGTTTCAAAAGTTTCTTGAAACGAAAAACAAATAAGGGCAAGCATTCTACTTATCATTTTGAAAGCCAGATCGTGTCTTTCCAGTAAACAAATGGTTTAAAACAATTAATAAAATACAAACCCGATTCCAAAAAAGTTGGGACACTGTACAAATTGTTATTGTGAATAAAATATAAGTTTATGAGATTTGTAAATTATTCCATTCCTTTTTTACTCACAAATTGTACAGTGTCCCAACTTTTTTGGAATTGGGTTTGTAGTTAATTATATGAAATATCTTTATTTATATATGTTTATCTTTTAAAATATGAGAAGATAATATTGTCTAATGCACACACCTTGTGTTCCATTAAAAACACTCTTACACTCTAAAAAAATGCTGGGTTAAATATGGACAAACCCAGCGATTGGGTTGTTTTCAACCAACAGTTGGGTTAAATGTTTAACCTTCTGGGTAAGTAACCCAACTGCTAGGTTAAAACAACCCAATCGCTTGGTTTGTCCATATTTTACCCAGTGCTGGGTTGTATTTAATCCAGCATTTTTTAGAGTCTAGAGATCACATGTGGGTTCTCAAATAAAGCATCAGGTTTAAAGGAACAGATCACATAAAAAAATGAAAATTTGCTGAAGATAACTCACCCTCAGGCCATCATAAATTTAGCATTACATCACTTACTCACTGGCTCCTTGGCTGTGAATGGGTGCCGTCAAAATGGGAGTCCAAACAGATAAAAACATCACAATAAACCACACCACTTCAATCCATCAAATAATACCTTGTGAAGCAAAAAACTGCGTGCTAGACAAAAAAAAAAAAAAAAACAAGGACGTTTTACCTTTCAAGTTGCTTCTGGCCTAAATACCAGTCCATAATCCATAATAACACTTCCTTCAGTGGAAAAGTGCATCATCTGTTCAAAATCACATCACATCAAAATACACCAACATATTTGATTAAAAATGTTTTGGAAACTTTTCTCTTGTATATTGTGCTTGATCTCTGCATATTTCTCCCCTGATTCAGACGAGACGACAATATTATGGATAGAGGAGTCACATTTAGCGGAAACAACGGGTTTATGTTAAAAACGTCTTAATGATGGAATTGTTTCTTACAAGCACCCAGCTTTTCACTTGATGGACTGGAGTTGTGCTGATTATTAGCTTTTCACACTCTCATTCTGACGGCACCCATTCACTGCAGAGGATCCATTGATAAGCAAGTGTTTCTTGAAATGTCTCCTAATCTGTTCAAATGAAGATGACCTGAAGGTGAGTACATTTTTAGTCAGCAAATTTACATTTTTAGATGAGCCATTCCTGTAAGCAGTAAGCACTGCCATTGAACTACAGCTCTGAAAAGTAACTATGGCTTATAAAAAAAAATAAAATAAAGAATAAGCAATCATTATGTAAGCACCATTGTCTGCACTGAATGGTGCGCGCTGCAGCGAGCGGCGCGCACTGGATGAGCATCAAGCGCAAGAGGGACCACACTAGCCACGAGGATGTCAGAGCGGAGAGAGAGAGAGAGAGGTGGAGTTGTTCAAGGTAGTCTCATCAACAGGCTCGCGCGAGTTCACTCCTAGACCTGCAGTGTAGACAAGACAAGGCATGGACAGACTATCCCACAAGGATGTATGCCAGGAGCGCATGGATCAATTATGGATTGTATGGGGTTCTTGCGTGCTTTAACGAGTGTCAACATTTGGATGCATGATTTAATACGCGGCAAGTAATTTGGAACAGAAACCGGACGATCTAAATGAGTCAACAGTTGGATGTACCTGAGAGGGAACCTCTGGATAAGACCATGACGCTGCTTTGGAATCAGAGAGAACCATCTGTAAAATAACTCGGAACTCCAGAGCGCTGCGATGACTTCTCCACGTTTTCTGTAAGCTGGGCGAGGAAATATATCCACAGCTGCACAATGGATTTACAAAACTCTAACGGGTCATCTGGGTCGGACAAGCAGAAGCCCAGTCTGATAGACTTGGGGACGTTTTTCGTGGACGCTGACATCATTTTTGGATTTACTAGTCATCTGTTAAAGCGAAAAGCCAAGGTAAGCCTTTGAGAAGGGACAAAAGACTCCACAAGTTGACACATTTAGAGCTCAGCAGACTCCACGCGGGTTGTTTCGCTTAAAAATATTGTGCTATTTAAAGGCTATGCTATTTTGGGGTTCGCAAATATGAATCCTAAGTTTTCGTTGGTTATGATGTGCAGCGGTTTGTTCATTTCAGCACCACGAACAGCTCTCATCCATCAATTGCGCTTTTGGCAACTTCCCTAAAAACATACAAAATACATTTCATTACAATGCAGTAAGTATATCAGATAAAGCCCTTCATTTTGAACAGCATTTTTTTTTCATCCGATAGTGAACTTAGTGCTTGATTAAAAGTTTCTCAGCGATCTTATGCTTTTAATAATTTAACCCAGTAATAAACATGCACTACAGCTAGGTTGAAGTTTTTCGTTTAAATCATGAAAATAAGAAACACTTAAAGCCAAAAAACAACATCAGTCTGATGTGTTAATAAACCACTAATAAGGTCCACAACAACAGACAATAATGTTCAAATAGAGGTTTATTAGAGATTAAGTTATAAGTCTACAGGCTACAAATATTATAGATGGTCACAAAAGCTAAATTTCTGCCAGCAAATATTGTGGTTTTCTTCGCCCACGTCCAACGGTCCGGTATTGATGGTTTATTGGACCACTTGCGCTGTCACAGACAAAGGACTGATTGAGTTTTTTTTTTTTGAGGCGGGAGATTGACAGTATTTGGGTGGCAATTTAATGTCACGTGATCCCAGCATATACATAATCAACATAAAATATTTAGAGATCAGTAATTAAATATTCAAACATTCTCACAATTTATTGCAAACCGAGAGGTTTGTAAGATGCAGTTGAGTTAAATACCAGAGAGTGGCGCAAGAGCAAGTTGACACATTTAGAGCTCAGCGGACTCCACGCGGGTTGTTTCGCTTAAAAATATTGTGCTATTTAAAGGCTATGCTATTTTGGGGTTCGCAAATATGAATCCTAAGTTTTCGTTGGTTATGATGTGCAGCGGGTTGTTCATTTCAGCACCACGAACAGCTCTCATCCATCAGTTGCGCTTTTGGCAACTTCCCTAAAAACATACAAAATACATTTCATTACAATGCAGTAAGTATATCAGATAAAGCCCTTCATTTTGAACAAAATTTTTTTTTCATCCGATAGTGAACTTAGTGCTTGATTAAAAGTTTCTCAGCGATCTTATGCTTTTAATAATTTAACCCAGTAATAAACATGCACTACAGCTAGGTTGAAGTTTTCCGTTTAAATCATGAAAATAAGAAACACTTAAAGCCAAAAAACAACATCAGTCTGATGTGTTAATAAACCACTAATAAGGTCCACAACAACAGACAATAATGTTCAAATAGAGGTTTATTAGAGATTAAGTTATAAGTCTACAGGCTACAAATATTATAGATGGTCACAAAAGCTAAATTTCTGCCAGCAAATATTGTGGTTTTCTTCGCCCACGTCCAACGGTCCGGTATTGATGGTTTATTGGACCACTTGCGCTGTCACAGACAAAGGACTGATTGAGTTTTTTTTTTTTGAGGCGGGAGATTGACAGTATTTGGGTGGCAATTTAATGTATGAACCAGACATGCAGTCGTGATTTTAAGCAATTTTGATTAATTCACACGAGTTACTCAGTTCTTTAACGCACACCTCTTATTACAAACACAGAATTAATTAAACTCTGAATTGAAATCAATGTTATTTTCACTTTTTGTTTGTGCAAACGCAGTCTAAACTCTATGAAACAGTGTCAGAATAGCCACTGAGCGCTCAGCTCCACCCCTCCAACCAAGTGACCGAGCCGCGCACACTGACAGCAGTCAAACTTCACTCCCGCGTACGCGCGTCGTCATGGAACTAAAGCAAAGCAAAACTTCACGGGAATTGAGTTGTGCTTTTTCCTTTGCGCTCCCACTGACTATCCATGAACTGTGTTCCTAATCAATGAGTGTAGACAAACAGAGACGCGATAAAGTGCACTAGATGTCCGCGTTTTGATCAGTTATACCGAAATGATGGATTTAACACAGGGGAATGCGCAAGGAGAGTTCCAGATCAGCCGGTCAACTGTAAGTCCTCTAATAAACAGCTGATGCTGAGAAGTTACAGTATTCTATTTGAATTCCAAAGCTTGCTGTTTGTGCATTGTTGTTGAGTAATTTGCAACACGTTTAGAAAGTTTAATCACACTTTTATGTTTTATGTTAAAAAAATAGTAAAGCTACATAATTTGTTATTATAATATAATAAACAGTTAGTAATATGCAATTAACTGTAATCTGGATGTTCTACATTTATAATGAGCTATTTTTGACAGATGTTAAATATATGGAGTCTTTCTGTATCTTGACGTTGTTGTCTTTCATAAAGGTGGAAGGCTGTTCGAGCGGAGAGTCTTCTCTCTCACTTGAGCTGAGCCCGAGGAAGAGACTGTCATTAGAGGAGGAAAGGTGTGCCAGCAGACCCCCACCTGAAGGCGCAGGAGCCGTGAGCCTCTCTGAATCCGACAGGGAAGAGACTAAGCCAGATCTGTGCAAGCAATGTCAGATGACTATAGCTGAACTGAGGAGACAAGCTCTCGCTCTGTCCGACCCTGCTTCCTTTAAGGTCAGTGAGTGAGAAACATTATTTCAGTGCCTTTGCAAAGCAAACAAACACATCCAAGACAGGGGAGTTCAGTTGCTTTGCTATTTATAGCATTTTTAGCACTAATAATGTTATCTTTCAAGGAACTGTTTTGATTCATGCAACATTGCATGACTAAGAATCTTTTGTTAGTTTGAAGCAGCACTTGACTTTCACTTGAGCCTCAGAGCTCTGGAAGTCCGCCTTGTTTAATTCTGTCACTCGGCTCTTTTCAAAGCATTGTGAAAGCCTCACATAAATCAGATGCATTGAATGCCTCTTAAAGGCCATTTTGTGTAAAATCTCACGATCTGATGAAAAGTTGACACAAATAAGCCCTGTCTTTGTAGTTTTATGACTCCCTTATCAGAAAAATGATATCCTATTCAGGCTCCTATTCACAAAGTTCACCAAGTCTTCAAAAGGTTAATCTTTTTACTATACCAGCACAGAGAGCAAATATTTCAATGACCTCTTTTGCAAACTATAGGCTTTGTTGCACTTTAGAACAATCAGTAATGCATTGAAATGATATTCCGTCTGAAATACATATAGGCTTGGATAAAATTGAGATCAACACAAAATGCTGTTTGAAATGCTCATTGCTGGATGTTTGGTTTATAGTCAAAACTGTGATGAAACCTCATCAAGCCTTGAGTGGGATGGTTGGAGTGAGATATGAGAAGCTCAGCTGTGTGGCACAAAGTGTCCCCATGCTTGCCAATGCAGAAAGTGGATGGGCATGATGTACAGAGAGCAATCTGGATGAAAAATTAACTATTAAAGTACCACTAAATTAACTGAAACAAAGTCTTATCAGAAATGGAAATTCATATGGAATTCTTATTAACTTGAGGTTACATTTCTATTGTAGTTAATGCTGTTTAAGCAATATCACATGAGCAAGGGTTGATGTTGATCTCACTCATAAATAGAGTCACTTAGTTAATTTCGAATTAATTGAGTGAATGATTCAATGACACTAAAAAGCCATTTTTAGATAGATAGATAGACAGACAGATAGATACCAGTATTCAAAAGTCTGGCTTTTCTACTTGAATCTCACAAAAAAGCTCACAAAAAATTGAAACCGTCCAGATCACCAACCTTGCATTTTGTTTTGTTGAATGCTGGTAAACTGAAGCTACACAACCACTCGTCATTGTTTGTTTGGAGTGTTCACAGTCTATCTGCTCATTCCTAAAGCCAAGAAATGTCTGTTTTTCCTTACAACCTTCCGTTTCTAGAGTTTTCAACAGCTTTTCTTACTTTCACACATTGTATTCACACAGTATGCGCGAGTGCCAGTCTCTGAGAGTCTGTGGACAGGGGAGGGGGCTATTGGAAGTGGCCCATTGTTTTGGGAAACAATGCTTATCTCCCCCCTTGTCCGTCGACATTGGGGGGAGAAAACAGTCGAGCGGACTCGCTGCACAGTCTGTGGAGGAAGTGCAGACCCAGTTGACCTTCATCATGCATTCAAAGTGTTCCTGTATACTCCTCATCAAATTCCCACCACAGTTAAATATAGGCTGTCGACTTTTTATTGTTGTCTGACTTGCTGCTTGGGTTAGCCTCAGGTTTTCCCCCTCCCTTTGCTTTCTTTTGTGGTTGTGTTTCAAAAGAGATCTCATGCTTAGGTAGGATTACAAGCCCTCCGGTTTGCTTTGAACCCCCCCTCAAGTTCTCTTCTCTCCATGTTACCTCAGGGAATAAAGAGAGGTTTTTTGTGTGGGTGTGCATCAATGTTGCAGGATGCGTATGACCTCGTCCCACCCCATGATGTGTTATTTGGTTAGTGCTTCCAGAGCTTGCTAATATACTCACTCGTTCTCATCAGCAGTGGTTATCTGAAATCATCACAAGTTTGGCTGCCCCGTTTCACTCTCTGGCAGTTTGCCCTGTGTGGTCCGCTCCAGGTGTGGGGGATAAAGCCATGGGGTCAAGCCGGAGAGGTTACGTCTCTATCGGCCCCACTGCTGATGGCTTAATGAGACTCTGGAAGCATTGGCCATGGGAGTCCTACTTTCCCTGCAGTTGGGAAAAGAAAGGATGCTTTGTCCAGCTGGAGATGTGTGGTGGATACCTGACCTGAACTTAGAGACTCAAGCGATATGGTTCTAGATGAGAAGCTACAGAGGGTTACTGTTTATCGGCTTCTACCAAAGTGTGGGTGGCCTGTAGTTTTAAATTGGTTGAATTTTCATTATTCTTGATTTTCAAATGTGATTCACACCTGCTTCCCACTCACATGTTCATTATGAAAATTCCTCTCAGTTTGCTGGTAAAGTCTGGGAACCGCAGCACTCAATACGTTTCAGATATCAGGCTGCCCTAATGACCCAGCTGCACTTCACTGGTTCATACTAGAGCTCATTTATCCTCGGCCAGCTTGTGTTGGCAAGGAGCACTGGCCTTTTAGTCAATTATTTTTGTGTAATTGTCGAAATGTTTTTTTTTTTTTGCAATTGAACAGTTCAGTGGCAACATCCAAGCAGGCTTGCAGAGCCAGACTTTTTTCATCTATCTATCTGTCTGTCTGTCTGTCTGTCTGTCTGTCTGTCTGTCTGTCTGTCTGTCTGTCTGTCCGTCCGTCCGTCCGTCCGTCCGTCCGTCCGTCCGTCCGTCCGTCCGTCTGTCTGTCCGTCCGTCCGTCCGTCCATCATCTATCTATCTATCTATCTATCTATCTATCTATCTATCTATCTATCTATCTATCTATCTATCTATCTATCTATCTATCTATCTATCTATCTCTATCTATCTATCTATCTATCTATCTGTCTGTCCGTCCGTCCGTCCGTCCGTCCGTCTGTCCGTCCATCATCTATCTATCTATCTATCTATCTATCTATCTATCTATCTATCTATCTATCTATCTATCTATCTATCTATCTATCTATCTATCTATCTATCTCTATCTATCTATCTATCTATCTATCTGTCTGTCCGTCCGTCCGTCCGTCCGTCCGTCTGTCCGTCCATCATCTATCTATCTATCTATCTATCTATCTATCTATCTATCTATCTATCTATCTATCTATCTATCTATCTATCTATCTATCTATCTATCTCTCTCTCTCTCTCTCTCTCTCTCTCTGTCTGTCTGTCTGTCTGTCTGTCTGTCTGTCTGTCTATCTATCTATCTATCTATCTATCTATCTATCTATCTATCTATCCATCCATCCATCCATCCATCCATCCATCCATCCATCCATCCATCCATCCATCTATCTATCTATCCATCCATCCATCCATCCATCCACACGAAACAAAATCCTCATTGAAATGTTCTAAAATCATAAAAATTGTTCAAAACTGGGTTCCTTCCAGGAAATGCGCGGTCAGCATCGCAGCCCGGTGTGTGACAGGCCGTTTCTTTGCAGGCTTCTGCCAAGCACACGCTCGCAGGCGGCAATTAGTCTTTCTTCACGCCCCACAGCTTTTAATGGCTTCACTCTTTTTCACCAGGTTTGCTTTCAGCCCGCGCCATGCTTTGTTTTATTATTTATTACCAATGATTCCCTCGGCTGATATCAGTGAGGAATGGTCTCTTCTCTTTGAACAATAAAGAAGCTCTCTCCTCAGTAGTTCATTCACTTCAATGTCAAGGCACTTAACACCTGAACAATGCCTGAGGATGGAATGCCTGGAAGCTTAACACAGTGGACAGTGGACAAAGACTTCATTGCCTACAATGACTGGCACTTAACTAGTCACAAAGCTCCAGAACATAATCACAATTTAAAAATGGCCAGCGTTAACCCTAAATCATCATGGCTACGATAACCATTAACCGGTAAGAATTAATCTGAGATGTCTAACGTCAACTTCTTTCACTCCACTGGCTGTCCGCTTCGATTACAAGATCATTCAACAAAATTTAAGGCCATTCGCACCTGGGTTAGAACAATCTAGCAGTTTGGAATGTAGCATTCCCAATCCCATTATTGTGATGAAGGACTACATGGCATATGGTATCACGTTTAATAAGATGAATATGCGCTTGGGGGCGGCCACTATTTCATCTCCATTTTCCAAAGAGAGGCACTGAAATGTCTGTCATCAATTATAATAGCCACTACAGTTCTAAGGGTCTATAAGCTCTCTGTTGTGCTATGTAAGAAGTTTAAACCAGGCAGGTCAAAAACACCTGCACCCCTCCGTCCTTCAAATGCTGGGTGAAACCTTAGACGACAGTTGCAATGAGAATAGTTAGCTCTTCTTTGTTGTCAGTCATCTCCCTGAACTCTCTTGTGACCAGACCTCCTAAAAAACCCATGGGAGGATCATCTAAAGCAAAGCTAGATGGATTTGCAGTTTGCCATTTTCATTTCAAGCACTTAACCCCTGCAGCTATGAGTCTATATGTGCGTATGAGCAACATTGTGCCTGTAACCGCTATGTGAAAGGTCAGTGAGGTAGGCTGCTATGGGATAAGAATCATAACCAAGTATGAAAATGGGTGGACCTCGAATGATTAGACTGCATTACATTGTCATGGGCAATAAAGATGGAGATCTTTCAGAGCGGTGGCCGATTGTTTTATTCAATTGGAAGTTGCATAAGCCACTTAGATGTTATATTTTATGCCAGGGCTCAAAAGAAGAATCCTGAAGGTGTAGATAAGCTTGAAAGGACATGACATTTAAAATGGAAAAACTTTTCCATTTTAAAAACCTAGAGTTCTTCATTCTTAAAAGTAAAGGTTCCAAAAAGGGGGTTTCATAGCAAATGCCTAGAACAGTGGTCACCAACCTTTTTAGGCCCAATATCCCTGACCTCGGCCTTTATGAAAGACAAGATCTACCTATTGAAGAATTGATAGAAAAAGAAATCCCAGATTGTACTTCAAATTTGAGGCCTTTTACTTAGTATTTTAATTAGTGATGCGCCGGTCGGCTATTGATTGATTGGCTATTTGCTTTATAACAAACAAACTGGCTTTAAACAAAAAAATATCTAGCCATTTGAAATTAGAG